GAGTTGCGTTTATCCTTACCCATGGATGCACAATAAGAACGGACCCATATCGTCTTACTGCCATCCCACGGAGCTGTAATAATGGATATATTGCACATGTTTGCTGTAATTCATTATCATACTACATGGCCTGTATGATTAAATATTGTACCGTAAACGTTGTATTAAATAAAGTTAATATTACCGACGTTAGATTAACGTCCCTGTAGCTTCTTATTGCACTAAGAAGCATATTGCACTGTATATATATATATATATATATATATACAGTGCAATCATTCTCTCATGCTAAATTAAGCTCTGTTGCTTGGATATCACTAGATCCTGTTACAGCGTAATATAAGTACATAACGATTGATGTCTACATTAGCATAATTACTAGCTAGCCGCTAACTGCCGCCTCGTTAATATCAAATCCATCATAATAACAAATCATTACCATGCTGTCATGGACGTGTGGTGCTGTTACGTGTACGTAAATTAACGTGCTTGATGTGTGAACGAGCACTTTGGTTAAAGTTCGGCATGCGCTATGACCGCACATACGGGTACTTCTCAGGCATGCCGGGTAATCTGTGAAGTTTCGCTCTCTCAAAAGTTGGGCCATTTTATCATCATGCGCCATTGACTAACTCTCATAGGAATGAATGAGGCCCCGCCTCCCACGCTGTATCCAGTTCTTATTATAAATCCATGGGTGGAACGTTTTTTTACCGCCATTACATGATATTCAAATTAGGCAATGACGTCATTTAGGGACTTCTGGCGACTTTTCGGACAGCCAATAGCTATTTTCCTTACTATGGAGTTGGCAACTTTGGGTATGAGCAGTATGAGGCATGGCTACAATGGGTGAACTGTTCGGTATTTTAAGCAAAAAACTTCACAGACATGTTTTGTATAGGTATGGCCCTACAATATATTTTTCCAATATAGCATAATAGGTCCACTTTAAGGCAATCAGAATTAATGGACAATCCAAACCTCAATGAGTTAACTTACCCAACACTTACAATCCAATGTTTATCTACCTCTATCAACCCCACAGTCCTCCTATTCCATCTTTCCTTAATGCTCTACTCGTGCCTCTATCTGTTGTTGCTCTGCTCCTCCAGCCGTTTTAAAGTCAATCTTTAAAAATGTTGGAACATTGCGCCTGGTTGCAGTTTCCCCAGGCTTCAAACACGCAGCCAGCAGAGTCTGAGATTATCATGAAAGACAATCAAACACGTAAGCAAATAAACACCCAGTTGGAGATGCGCTCAGTCCTCCATTTGATTCATCATGCAGTAAAACAAATAATTTAGGCACTCACCACGGGAGGTCACCGCCACTGAAATCACTTCTGACTGAGCCTGACGTGTTTTGTCCTCCAAGTGCTTGTTTGTTTGTTTGATGCCTGTTTGTTCGCTTTGTCACAAGATAACGCACATTACCATAACGGGGAAGGTGGTGCATATATTTTTAACAGGCCCCCCTCCCCCTGTACAAACACATACATATTACCACCTCCAGTGTGTAAATATTAGCGAATTAATCAGAGCTCACAATTATAAAAAGGTGTGCCATATCATATATACATACTGCATGCATGCACACTGGATATATATATATATAATATATAACATTCGCTGCTGTCCAGGGTGCTGAATATCAAACAATTTCCTACATTATTATGCAAACATACGTTGATATATTCATCCCTTATAGCATTTGCAACTTAAATTAAAGCTCTGAGAGTAATGCGGTGGTTCAAAATCATTTCATGCATTAACTGTCAGCCAATCATATTAAGGGTTACCCAATAATTCATCATCTGAGCTGCGCACATCCCTGACCACCATCTGCATCAGCTTTGTGGAATATAGTTTATTCATAAATGCATGAATACTCTCGTCATTCCACCCAAACCAGCAAGCCTTTAAAACGTGTTTTTCTACCAAATCCCGTCCTTTGATTGTCAACATTAGGGTTTATTCACATCTCGAAAGCAAAGCTGACAACCGTTCTACTCAGCTCAGAGGTAAATTAATGCTCCTCATCTCTTTTTCTCTCTCTTTCCCTGGCATGGTTTTCACTGACATTTCAAAGGCAACACTCCTCTCTCCTCTCCCTCACTTTCTGATTTCATTCATCCTTACATGCTAATTACTTGATGTGTTATTGCTCTGGGTTTTCAAAAGACACAAGACCACAGACTGTAAACTCACACCAAGCATTTTACTAATCCTTGGGGATATTACTTTGTGAACACATCATCTTAAAAGGAGTGAATGTATGTTCAACAACCGATTAGTCTCTCAAATGTGCTGATTTGTGAGGGTACCAGAGGATTTTCTGTGGATTATCTGGCCTAATTGGTAGAATGGGAGTGTGTCTGTAGCTCCCTTAGCAATTGATGGCACCTCAGAAAGTGTGGTATCTTACACATATTAATATATTTTAAATGGAACATAACGGAATGAAAAAAGTAATTAAGTGTATTTTTATAACATTCAGTTATGTCCATTTTGAAAATGGTTTGGAGGGGCTTCTCCAAAAAAAAGAAAAAAAGATAGCATGGTGTTTTCTCCCGCTCCACACTGGCTCCTTTGTACCGAACCCAGCTTTGACATCAACTGGGTCAAACATTAGGGAGGGAGTGCAGCAGCTGGACCCGACCCTCAATGTCACCCTTGTTAGTCGACCTCATCCATGTCAGTCACTGGCACTCCGATTGATTTCCCTTCTTTTGTCTGTGCATATTATCTCTGTGTGTTTCTGACCAGGGCCCTCAGACATGTTTCTTGTTTCCTGCTGACATCATGCATGTGTGTGCAGACAGGCAACACATGCATGCAGGCATTAAAAGGGTATTATGTATGAAATAATTAAACTTTGATGTGGAAAACATGTAAAAAGGCTGTCTGGATAGACAAATGTTATTTCATTTGCATTGTGCACATTAAGTTAGAGAAATTAAATGAAAAGTTAAATAAATCATTTGAAACTATTGACACTGATTTAATCTTTTTGGCTATTATACTGTTTAAAGTGAGCATGCAAAAACTCCCATTCTAATCTATTTACCCATATTTTTGTCAAATACATTAAATATTCTCAAATGCCTAGAAATAAAAAAATCATATTGAAACAAATAACTAATTCTCTATCCCCAGTTCTGAACCCATGGCACCATAAATAATGACTGGCAGCTGAAATGGGACTTTGTGACTTTAAGATGTGTCTCGGGGAGATGTGGTCTATCTATTGTTGATGAGACAAAAGCGTGAGTCAGATTCATATAGGAGTGGCGGGGAATAACTTCTCATATCCTCATATCACAGTCACAAAGCCACCCAGCAAAACTTCAATAACCCCCACACTTCTCTCTGGACATGGGTGAGTGCGCCGTATCTTTAATAACTCTTATCATCTATTATTAATGTGATTTCAAAATGTGGATTTCAATAACTGACTAATGTTGCCTTTAATATATCCTTTCTCTCCTTAGACATCATGTTGCCCTTGTGCACTGGGGGCATAAAGTGCTGCAAATTAATTCAGAGTTTTCATTCATCAAAAGCATTTTTATATCTACAGATGGATTATAGATGTATTGATTATACACCCTGTGCCATTATTCCTAATATATGATGTACTTTAACAAACAATGATGGTTTCAGAAGGAGCACAAGGGCTCAGCCAGGATGAATTGCTTCTTAATAAAGAAAGGACTCCCCGTTTCCTTGTCTAACCTTTTTACAACAAGTATCAGTGTCTGACAGAGACGGGCATTGACTCTCATCATGCCAAGGCCGTATCGGGTCACTCATGTCAAAGAGGTCGAATACTCCCACGAGTGTCACGGGTATAAATTAGCAAATGTCCAAGAGAGATATGGACCCAAACAACCTTTGCCAATCGTCTTTTTCCTGACTTTCACACATATTTAACAGCTTTTGAGTCATGATTGATAATTTGACTGTGACTTAAGTTGACTTAAGTTTTTCATTGCCATATCTACACTGTGCAATGTGCACATGAAAATAAAGCCTTGAATCTTGAATCTACTGTAAAAGCTTTAATGTATTTCAAATCGAGGCTATGGTGGCCTGATTACTTTATCACTGTAAGCACTGTTGCAGCAGGGCACAGCTGAAGCGTGGGTGTCTGCAGGCGCTATTATTTTTGGGACTCTAGCTATCTTCCTGCTGTTACTATTTATACTTTTGAAGCAGTTTGTTGAACTTCCAGCCTGCGTTTCCTCAGACTTAAATCCAATATGTTGTGAAATTGGCATCAGGTAAGCTGGCTGAACCCCTAACCCTAACCTTTGTCAGGATAAAGCTTACATGTGTGTTATATAGTTGTTTTTGACCCAACAATTTCCCCTAAATCCAAGTCAATTTTGAAGGTGTCATAAATCACCAGAATGTTTAATCGCATTGTGATGATTTAGCCATCTAAGCATTTCTAAATATGTATCGAAACAACTCTAGTTTTGAGTGGGTTTTTTGTTGTTGTTGTGATGATATTCAAATTGCCCCTCACATTCATTATGCCTCCACCCACCCTTTGAACACTTGAACCCACACCCCACCGGCATTGACACTCAGTGGCATGGTACCAGTCGCAGACAGCTGTGGGGGCAGGGTGGCCTGAGTAGAGAATTACCACTGGTGATGAGATTGTCCTGGTGACCCCCTGCCACCATATACTACGGTACGTGTGTGTGTGTGTGTGTGTGTGTGTGCGTGCGTGCGTGCATGCGTGAGTGCGTGCGTGCGTGCGTGCGTGTGTGTGTGTGTGTGTGTGTGTGTGTGTGTGTGTGTGTGTGTGTGTATTGTGGCACTATGGCCTTTGTTTGTTTGACATCGCTGCCCTTTGTTCCTCCCTGAACATGGCAAAGACAATGGATATTTTATCTGGAGTCACAAAGAGACGCTTTTTCTTCGGACCACCATCTCTCTCTCGCCTCGTGACGCCTGTAATCGCCAAAAGAGAAAGAGGGCAGGACCAGAGTGAGAATAGGGCAGAGCTGTGAGGTGTTGGTACCAGCAGAGGAGCTTTTCGCATACAGATGAAGTCAGCGCAGAGACCTGTTTTACTGTAGCAGCAGCTTGCAGACAGCACTGTTCATCAGTGGTTGGCATTGGGTTCTCGCTTGTTGTGGAGTACAGGATCAGAAGCAGCAAATGTTTCCGGTCAGGCAGCCTTGGCTTTGCAAAGCCTTAGGTGCTTTCCTCTTCCCATTTCTGTCAATGCATTTATTAACACTGGGGATGTTTGCTACCTGCTTCAACAGCACAGCTTACACTGGAGGAAGTGCATGAGATTACTGTGAAGTCAGTGCTGGCTGATTTTGTTTGGACGCTTTTATTGGGAACGCTGCTTGAACTCAAATTTTTTTATTTTTCTGTTGCTTTCATGCCTGTTGGCGGAGGAGTGGTGTGTGCTCATGGATTTGCAGACCAAGCAAGGCCTTTTCGTAGCTCCCCCACCGGGTGAAAGAGTTCCCCGTCGTGTCGTAGATGTGTTGTGTGATTATTTGTGCGGTGTGTGCCGCCTGTGTGCTGATGTATTATGCCCCCTCAGGTTGCTATGATTGCTGTATCCGGTGCTTTTGGGCAGTGCCCTACCCATCCCTGGTGGCCACCCTGCTGTTATATGCCGGCATGGCGTTATTTTGTGGCTGTGGGCATGAAGCGCTGTCCAACACCGAAGTCCTTGTCGAGACTTACTTCGCCCGCAACACTCAAGACTTTACGATCATGGCCTCCTTGTGAGTGACACTTTAATGCAACTTTTGACCTCTCATGAGTTGTTTAATATGTCTAACCTGACTTTCCTTCCTGTGTCTAGCATCAAATACTTCCAATACGTGATCTATGGCCTGGCATCATTTTTCTTCCTCTATGGCATCCTGCTGCTGGCCGAGGGATTCTACACCACGAGCGCTGTCAAGCAGACCTTCGGTGAATTCAGGAGCACCCACTGTGGCCGCTGCATCAGTTTAACGGTGAGCAGTGGGAGGGCAAACATGACGTCAGTTCACTGTTTAATGCTGAATGCTGGTTGGTTTAAGCTCTTTAAGCTCACTGAAGTGTTTTCTTTAAATCATCTGATTCACCTCGATTTTGAAATAATCTGTGACCTGCTTTTTATTTCGACAGTTCATCATAGTGACATACATCTTGGCTTTCATCTGGCTGGCAGTGTTTGCCTTCACTGCTATACCGGTCTTCTTCTTGTTCAACATGGAGCAGACCTGCCACAACATCAACCTCCTGGCTGAAACCACCCCCAGCATTAATCAGCACGGCTGGATTTGCATTGACGCCAGGCAGTATGGTGCGTTGTCCTTATAAATGCTGACCCTCTACCTGATGAGAATGCTAATGTATCCTATAAAAGCAATGAATAAATCATTTGGAGTGGATGCAAAGCTGCTTCTCTAATTAGTTATGAAATAATGCAGATAGCTGCATCTTTATCTTAATTCCTTCACACTGAGGCTGTATGCAAGCGGGAACCTTAGTGCGTCATTACTCATCATGATTCAGAAACGGTAAGAGATACTTACGTCATGTCTCCGTTTAAGGTCTGCTTCCTTGGAATGCAATGCCAGGCAAGGCTTGTGGGATGACCTTGGCATCTATTTGTAAAACCAGCGAAGTGAGTAGCTGAATATGAAATTCCCTTTCACTCAGTTCTCAGTGGTCTATTGGATACTCAATATATAAACTAACTAACCTGTGTTTATGTCTTACAGTATCACGTCACCTATGACTTGTACATAGCAACATTTGCTGGTGCAGGTGTCACTCTCTTAGCCCTGGTGAGCAATTGCTTTCATAATTGTCTTTCTTTCTTTCTTTGTTGATTTGTATTGTCCTGTGTTGTTGTTCCTTGGGGACAAATAAAGGTCATGAATATGAACTTGATTTAAGGTGCCCTTATAAATATTACCTTTGTACTCGTAAATGAAGGGTCACTCACTCAAATACCAGAAATACATAATGAGCTTTATATAGCCATGAAGAAGGCTTTGGATTAGTTTGGTCAGGTTTTGAGATGTTTGAGGATGACTGACGCCCCAAAACAATGGTATTTTTTTTTTATTCTGTGATACTCAAACCATTGAAAAATGACTTTCAGGAGAAAAACCTCTTTTAAGGCCTCACTATTATCTCTCTCGTTGGAAATCCTTTCTGCCAAAGAAAATTGTTCCAATAGTACCAAAACTGTTCAAAGCAAAGTATGTGGATTATCCTGAGAAACAAACACACATCAAAGTTTATTTTCAGTGATTACAAAAATCCACCTGTGTGTAGTAGGCTGGCAGCTAAAATCCCAGAAATTGATTTCTCAAATCTTGGAAAACTCATTAACAAAACAAAACTTCCTGCTTGGCTGTACCATTTGAGGGAGGTAGGATTTATTTGGTGTGGATTTGGGTGAATTAACACTTTAAAAAGATGATTTCAAACTTTTGTAGTGCGAGATGTATCCTTGCCCATGCTGTTTTTTCATCTTATGTTTCAATATTTTCCTTTGCAGTTTGTGTATCTGGCGGCCACCACCTACAACTACGCAGTTTTGCGGTTCCTGGGCAGGAAAGGGGTCCGCTAAGGTCAAGACCTCCCTCCCAGTGAACCCCCTCCTCTAGCCTTGAGATGGACAGTCGACACCAGACTTCCTCCTGGGAAACAGCACCTTCCAAACCTGCTATAATATGTCTTTATACAAATGTTTCTCATCACTGAACAACAGACAGAGAGATGAAGATAATTCTCACCCGCAGCGAGCTCCGGCCTCCTCCTCACATCCTCCTCTAAGATGATTCTCTCAGCTTTGTTGTTCATTTTTTATTTCGCAGGTTGCATTTCAGTTTATTTTATGAAGCTTTATTGGTGCTGATGCTGTTGTCAGATTGTGATGTATGACGTTTCATGAATAATTAAGAGCAATGACTGCTCGCCTTGCAAATCATAACTGCATGCACTCGGCTCAGTGTTTACTGATGCATATTTTGGATCTGAATATGATTTTGCTGCTGCCTCATTATCACCATCTTGTGTAGCAACCTCATGTGAACTAAAGCAAGGGAACCAGAGATCTATGTTTGGGTTAGGTGTATCGTCCCATCTCCCTTTGTGCTTTCAGTTAGAATACATGTACTTTGCATTCACTCAATGCATTTCTGCTTAGTTTAAATGCCACTGCTTAGGAGGGGAACAAGGAGGTGTATTCTTATGGATGTTTTGGGGTTTCTGCTTGAAAACGCTGTTTTTATGTTACTGGGGTTTTGATGCTTCAATAACGTGCCTCCAGGTGACTTGTGTTTAATGTGTAGCCCTGCTACTTAGTGAGAAGGTTGTGTTGTGTGTTTTTAATTAAGGCTGAATAAACCATTTACAATTGGGACAGTTAAATGTGATTTTATTCAATCATTATACAGTTTGTCGCAATACAAATATGTTATGTTGATTGTATTTTAGGCCAGCATCTTTGGTTATTTCTACTAAAAGTAAAATGCTGCCAAAAATCATTACAGAACTCTTACATTCAATAAACTATGTCTTAAATAAACTTTCAGAAGGTAAATTGGTTCAAAAACAATACAGGATATCAATCACTTTGAGTCTTCTCCAGCGACACCTTGTCCAAGTTAGGCTTCAGATCACGAGAGTTTTATGAAAGCAGCCACCACAATGGATCACTTGGCCTTGCAAGAAAACGGCGGTCAGCAAATCTCCCAGGGCCATAGCACACACGCCACACTGCAAAAACATACTCAATATTAGCATTATGCAATGAGGAAATATAATATGATACATATATGTTGCCGAACTAACATAACAAACCTTTAGACAGTCGGGGTGGAAGGTCATCTCAGGTTCATTGAGGAAGAACTTCACATTTCCATCAATGCATTTGTCACAGTACGAACAGACATTGATATTCCTGCAGTAAGGACAAAAGTTAAAATAAGATTATTACCAATGTTAACCTTTGTGTATAAACTTACGGTCTATAATAGAGGTTTTAATAAGTTATTACATTAACGCTGTGGAATTTTGAAATATGTCAAAGATTTTAAAAAAGCATCAGCAAAAATGAATTTAACAGTGGCTCTTGAGCTTTCAGAGCTAACTCACTTGTTGGCCTTATAGGAGTTTTGGTTCTGGTCGGCAGGTTTAGGATCATCTTGAGGCTCGGGTGCAGCTTCAGTTTTGGGGTGCTCCACGTCCAATGCCTTTGACTGTTCAACGGGACTGTCAGAAGACTTATCCTGAACGTCTTCTAAAGCTGGTACAGGTTCAAGAAGAGCATCCTCGATGTTCAACTCCGTCACAAGATCTGCTGCTTTCTCAGGTGTCGGTTCAACTATTTGCTCGACAACAGTGTTATCAACAGTCTGGACTTCAGCTACCTGTTCGGCTTTGGTCTCCAAAACAGTCTCTGCTGAGGGTGCAGACTTGACCTCGCACTCTACAGACTTGACTGCAGTTTCAGCTTTCGTAGGAGATTCAGAAACAGTATCTGCCACTACGTCAGGAACTTGTTCAACTCTGACTTGGAGAGGAGCCTCTGTTTCTGCGGCTAATGTCACACCAGGTGTCTCAGGAGATGACTCCACAGCAACCTCAGCTACAGCCTCAACAATATCTTGGACAGCAGCCACTTCTCCTGGTGTTGCATTAACAACGTCACTCGTGTCAGATGGTGACACTTCAGTTACAGTTTCAACAACTTCTACTGCAGCCGGTTCCTGGGAACCTTTGTCACAACTTCCCTCTGTAGCCATTTCAGCAGCAGGTTGAGCGGACACTAAGTCAGGGACTGTTTCAACACGGACTTGGATAGGAGACTCTTCTCCTGCTGCATCTGTAACAGCAGGCCCATCTGTTGGTGACTTCACAGCAGCCTCAGCTAACGCTTCATTTTCCACAACCTCAGCCACAGCTTCAACAACTTCTGCTGCCTGTTCTGGAAGACCTTCCTCACAACTTTCCTCTGCAGTTTGAGCAGTTGATTTTGCTCCTCCCTCCTCCAAATGTGTCACATTTGCCGACTCTGTTTTGATTGAAGGTTGCTCTTCAGGTTTCAGTTCGACCACAGGGGCCTCAGGGACTTTAGTGATGCCTTTGCTCTCCTCTGTTCTTGCCGCAGCAGAGGTTTCTGCAGCAGGATCTTCCGAAGGAGCAACTGTAGCCACCCTGGGCTCATCGAGTTCTATTTTTGGCTGCTCAACTGTTGCATCAGCTTGATCTTCCTTGATTTCTGCAGTTGCATTGGCAAATGATTGCTCAGCTGTCTTCACATCAGACACTGCCTCTGGAATTTCCTGTGTTGAAAAAACTGTTAGGGCTTCATCATTTTGGATACGTTCTGCAAAATGAAGCTCCGCAACAACATCAATTGGTTCTACATTTGCCTTGTTCTCTGCAGCATTTTCTTGCTTGTTTTCTGCATTTGTGTTGGCAACTGATGTTTCTACTTGTGCCTCAACATTCAGTTCTTCAGTGGGTGCTTGGGTCCTGTAATAAAGGGTCTTCATTATTTTTCAGAAAATTCATGAAAAAAAATCCTTAAAATCAGAAGCAGTTACAATCAGTAGAGAGATGCTCTAAAATACTGACTTTGCATCGTCTGTGGGCCCCACTGTTGACCCCTCAGGCTGAGCATCTTTTGGGGGAATAACTTCACCATTTGCATGATTTGCTGAATCGCTAAAAACATAAAGCAGAATATTAATAATGATCATGTAATATATACACATTATTTAAAGTTTACATTTTTAGAATAATTGAGAATAATAATGCATTAATGCTAGAAACAAGTGGACTGTGGATGCTTCTCATAGTTTGCATAAATTATTTTTTCATTAAAATGCAGCCCATATACTACATACCCTTCAGATGGAGCCGTTTGGAGGGTAGTGCTCGGTGGAGAGTCTACTGCTCTAAAGGGGGAGAATATGAAACAAACTTTGAAAACGACCTTAGTTTTTACAACCTTAAAGCAGACAATACCAAAATAGCTAAATATATCTTGTTAATAATTATTCACAAACAATATACACAAATCAGGTTTAAACTACTTAAGCTGAAAATTGCCATTAAAACCAAATGCTCCATATCGAGATGGTTTAAATTCTGTGCACGTAAAGGTGTTATGCACAACATAACAACAGGTCACTTCTTTCTTACTGTATAATGTTAACAGATAAAACCTCATCAGTAAAGGATGTATGAGTTATGGCAGTTCCCAAATATGACTCTTCATTCTTCTTTTATAGCCTTAGTGACAGGTTTAGCTTTATAACCTATAAAAACTTGCATAAAAAGTCTGACCTGCATTAGACGATTAGCACAACAAATCACAGAGAAAGGACACAAGCATGCAAAAAGAAATATGAAAAAAATGACCAGCTACATTGATTTATGAAGCAAAGCTGCCAAATAGAGCTTTAAATGACAACAGAAATCTTATTAACGATGTAAATATCACCAAACACCTTGAACAGTGTGGGGGTGGACCTGTTTTCTTGCACAAGTTAGAGGCATGAGTCAATTGGTTCCAGTGTTTGTCTCTCGTATATTGACATTGCTGGTAATAGATGGCAGCCGAAATTGGATTGGGTCAACCATGCTTGCAGTAGCAAAACATCTTGATGACCACTACATTAATATGATAGATGTTAAGGCCATGGTCTAGCCGTAAACACTAAAATAAGAGTGTGAACATTTGCAATGATTTAGTGACTGAAACTAATCATTCAAACGAATTGCCATTGTGTCATAGCAATACATATGTATCTTAATCTGTCATGGAAAAACACATAGGCCTACATTGTGTAGCATCATCTATAAAAGTACAGTCTATGGTAAGGTGCAGTGGCGGTTCTACGGGGTGGCACGGGGTGGCAGCTGCCACCTCAGAAAAATGCCTTGCCACCCCAGCTGCCACCCCATTTGGCAGCTTTGTTTTGAAAGAAAAGTTGTGGCTCATCGGACATTTATGAGAGAAAATCTCTAATGTCCAAGTGCAAGTGAATGCAGCACAAGACGCGAGCCTTGTAACCCCTCCCCCCCCCTGGCGCGAGCTTCACTTGCACTTGGACATTAGAGATTTTCTCTCATAAATGTCCGATGAGNAAACCATCCGTCATACTGTCCACACAGTGTAGCATGTAGTGATGTAAGATGCAGGAAACCCATTTAAATTAAAAATATTCAGCACTGTGATCAATTCTGAGCTTCTCTGAGATATAAGATAAGTATACTTTACTTTGTGTGTGTGTTAGATGAATTTTAAAACATGCTCCTCCTCAAATCTTCTTCAGCGTGTGCAAACATTACAGATGCTCACGTCTCCTTTACAAAGTGTGTTTGTGCCCTGAGTTTCCCATCTCCTTAAATCAATATTCAACGCCAATTTGAATTAAACATGCCCAGTTCAACATTTATACCAAGTGATCTTTAAGTAGAACATTTTATAGCTGTGTGCAGCCGTATCCTTTGTGGGCTCTCAAACTACCAGACGTGTATTTTTTTTAAAATTTTCTGCTATCAGTACTCATCAATTATTTATGCGTAGCTTAAATCCCTCCCTGTACCTCCGTGGATAACAGAGTTACTACAATAGCTGCGAGCTGACATCCATTAAGGTGACAGTTGTTCTGCTCCTCTCTGCTCAGCCTGGAGAAAAAGTTTGAGACTCTGCAGGAGGGGAAGTAAAACAGAATGCTTCTCATCATGGAGCCATGTTGGGAAAAATCGTTCAGAAAGTCCATCAAAGTAAATGTTACCTAATAAGCACGACTGCAACTTTGTCAATCATCTGCTATGAGTTTGAGTTTAGGATGTTGTGTGTAAGAATGTGTGTGTATAATATATCTCAGTTTAAAATGTTAAAGGGGCCCATTTAGGGTTTTGGGGTTTTTCCGTTAACTATATTGTGTTATATATGTTTTGGTGGATGTCAATGGTCTCCATTTCACTGCTTTTATTACTCTGCAACATCACTATGTAACATTGGCGCTTCTATTGGCTAGCACTCCAACACATTGTACACGATAGGCTAAAGGGGCGGGACATCTCTAAGTTGTTGACCAATCACAACACACGGGGCGGGGGATGACTGCAGCTTTACCACTTTTCTGACTGTACTGTTTATAAAAGATTACAAGATATATATGCAAATATCTGACATTTGAATTTTATATCTGTGTTAAGCGTGTGTGTATACATTTCTGTCACATAAATCATACATTATTTCAAACTCGTGGGCTGGTTAATAAAAAACAAACGCTGCTTATAGTCTTAGCGTGTGAGCCATTGAGCGTACGTTTCTCCTCCCTGAGGCCGTATTTGTGTAATATTCTTGTTTTTTCTGGTGCATTTTATGCACATAAAAATACAAGGTAATTGTGTATTGACAGTCCCCGGGGATCTCCTTGCTGCTGACAGTACCGCGTCAGATATCTGTAAAGCACCCGGAAAAAAACACTGACGGTTGGAAAATAGCATCTCAAGGCAATATTCAGTCTTATGTGATATGAGTACTACAAAACACTAATGACACATACACATTACTAATGTTTAAAATACAGAAATGGAGGAACATTTACTGAGCAGGACTTCATGGAGTCAGCAAATGGGCAATGTGGACCAAGACACATCTTTTAGGAACTGCTAGGAAAATATCATATGGGGCTTAGGTTCCCTCTGAGTATAGTCTCAGTTTATTGATCTTTATCAAACCTTCAGGAAGTTGGGCGGGCACATTTTTGTAGTGACCAAATGATTGGACTACCATGTCAGTCTGTGACGTCATTGGGCGCAAAAATATGATTTCCCACTGACCTACATTGTAAAAGAGACATCTGTAAATCTGCATATATATCTTTTTTCGAGGTCTATCCATATCCATCCATATCGTATCCATGTATGTTTATATCCATATGAACATTAGAATAGCACTTATTAAAATCACTAGGGTTTAAAAGAGTAAAATCCACTAAATCCAGAGTTCCTTTCACTCATTCAACTGAATGGCAGATTGGAGGCGGGGCTTTAGGACAATTCAAGCCACACCTTCATGGGCCAAAGACCCCGGATGATTTGGGTACTTTTTGTAACTGTGGGTAAGATTACAGTACAGCTTGTGATGAAGACGTAGGCCCCTAAGATCTCAAATGTGTATGTTTGCTCCATCACTGTATCCAGTTCTCTTTATACATCCATGATCTCAATGCACCCTGAATGTATCTTCAGTGAACCTTCACACCATTACTTAGCTGTCATCCTTTCATCGGATGACATACTATAACCCGGTCCAACCTGGGTCATAGCGTCAACCCCCTGCTTTCTTAAAAGCATGAACGGAGAAAATCGTATTTCCCTGAGATGCGAGGTTCCCAGCTGTCAGCGTAATGCAGGTGCAGACGGTATAACGCTCACACTTAGCGCAGAATTGCAGGCAAATACATATTTAATTGTCAAAGTCACAATATGTAAGTGCAATCTCGCTGTGACACGCACATAAACACACACTCTGAACCATCAATCTGCTTTATGACGCACATATGCAGCTGTCACATATAAGTAACGCACCTTGACAGCACACACACACACACACACACACACACACACACACACACACACACACACACACACACACACACACACACACACACACACACACACACACACACACACACACACACACACACACCACTCGGTCACTTACGTGGAAGCGGCGCTGTGCCACTTGCTCCACAATGGTATTACAGCGGCTCTCAGCCTGTTATGATCTCATTCCAAAAGCATTCAGTGCTGCCGCAAAGCAATTCCAAACACATTTCCAAAACACATTTTCCAGCGCCACAAAGTGTTACATCCATCACCGTGGGAATAAGGCGTAATGACCGACAGACACTGTAATAGTTGATTCTCCTGCCAAGAAAGTGTGTGTGTGTGTGTCCATGTCTTTATGTGCGGCAGCGTGTGTGTGTGTGTTTGCACTCGTCACATCAGAGAAAGAGGGATCCTTGAAGATGCATTGTGCTAACATCATGATCTCTCCATATATATTTAATGAAATGGTGAAGTAATCAATTATACATCTGTACCTTTTTCCCTCTTCCTCCCCTTCCCCGAACAACCTTTTATTCTTCTCTTTTTCATGTTTCCGCTCCACGTCTATCTTCAAAGATCTCCTCTTATATAAGCGTCTTTGCTATCACACTCCTTGTATGGTTACAATTACAGTTAAAGCTTGAGAAGAAAAAGTAGGGCCCTAAGATCTCAAATTTGTATGTTTGCTCCGAGAAGAGAAGTTTGAGATCAGTGGAGACGTCGATGATGCCGGTTAAGGCAGAGCTGCTTTGTAAAAAAAAAAACGATAGAAAGAAAGGAAAGGGTGGCACGCGGAAAGATCAAACAGCCGAGCTGATCAAAGAACCTGAAGAGGCGGAAATATATATCGAGACGAAAAAAAAAGAACGTTTGTAAAGTGAGCAAGTGTGTGTATGCGGGAGAAAACGGTGTGTGAATAATAGCAGTGGCAGCAGACAGGAAGATGAGAGCTGGAGTGATGTGGGCTGCCAGTCAAAGTGCATGCTGGGTAATAGTGGACAGCTCAACAATGCTGTTAACCTCCCTGTTACCTGCTTTCAGCCTCTTCAAGTGAGAGCGCTCATGTGTGAATGACGCATATAAATGTTTGTGTGGGGATGAGTAACGTAGGTGTGACTGCACGGAAATCTGCTTTAGTGTGTCCACCTGGTTTTGTATAGATGCAAACAATCTATACCGTGTGTGTGGACAGGGAGCTTCAAAGCCATAACACACACACACACACACACACACACACACACACACACACACACACACACAACAAAAGAGGAGATTTGCAATTAGTGCAGTGTGCAGTGCAAAGCAATCTTTCCTTCAATTTGCAGAAGTCTTGCAGTGATATATGTTCTTTGTCTTGTCAACTTGTTATTAAGTTATCCAGGCATCTCGAGTGCCATACATACGCCCTTGAGTCTGGACCCAGCACATATCAGTTAGAGTTTGCTGCGTTTTGTACACACACATTCTTATCAGGCTACGGAGACCGCAGATGCTTTCTTGAAGGGGGGGGGGGTTGGCGTAGGCACGGTGATGAACACGGGGGAGATGGTGTGCGTCTCTGCTTCGGTGATTTTGGTGGGCGTCGTTGAAGGGCGGGGGTAAATGACATGCTGCCAGGGGGGGAGGTGGTTGACGTAGGTACGGTGATGAAGACGAGGGAGATGGTGCGCGTCTCTGCTTCTGTGATTTTGATGGGCGTCGTTGAGGGGCGGGGGTAAAGGACATGCTGCCAACCCTGTGTATCGCCTTCATTTGGTCATTGAACTCCAGGAAGGAATTGTTGCCAACCCTCTGTATCTCCTTCATGTGTGTTCAGCGATCTCCAGGAGGGTGGGCTAGGGTGAAAGGGTGAACGGAGAGTAGAGAGAGCTGTGGGGTGAAGGAAGAGTATCCTCAAAGGTGATGGGGGGGTGCAGGGCGGTGGAGACTCCTCCATTTGTCTCCCATAATCAAGACATTCCTCAGGCGGGTGCAGTGATACATTTTCTTTCTCTTGTTTTGTTTCCTCTTGTTGCTTGTTCTTGACAGAGGGAACAGATTGATGACGCAGTATGTACTATACTGTCTATGTTATGGCTTTGAGTGCATTCGTCTTGTTTTGATAATGTGCTGTAGGAATGCTTTACTGAAATTGTTGGCTGAGGTCCAAAGAGGCAAACCTACAGAGGAGGTTCTGCTGGATTCCTAAAAAATTATATGTTTATAGGTTCAAATGCAAATGTTCACACGAGAACACGAAAAGTTTCGACATGCTCACATGCTCCTAAAAAAAGCTGTGAGTATGTTTGTGTGTGTGCTTGATTGTGTTTAAGAGCTGAATAATATGTGCAATATCCTTTTGAATATTCATTTGATTCAGGGCATGTTTATGGAACATTACCCAAAGGATAAAATTATTTTGTCATTTTGTCATGCAGATCCTTTTGACTCCAGGTTCTGTTGAGTTTCTTAAATTACATTAAAAAAAACATCTGAAACAGCTCCTTACAGACACAGTAATTAATTTAGTTATTGGCAAATTAATTAACAGCAATACATCTATATTGTTATTGTGCATTGATTTATGGGAATGTGTTTGGAAGCTCTTTAGCAGTGTGCAACATCAAAGTAGAGTCAATAAAAAAAAGGGCATGTAAATAAGTAGTAGTAAATCAAAGCAGAAAAAATAACTAAAAAGACTGAGGTTAACTTTCTCGATGAGCCAATTTGAGTTTCACTGGAGAAGATCCAGATGTTTTGCACTGGAATTCTCAATCTCAATCTTTATTTATTTATACAGCACATTTAAAACAACCTTTAGTTGACCATAGTGCTGTACAGGCAATAACTACAATATTAAATAACACAATGGGAGCACAATAATAAAACAATAATTAAAAACATGATAAAAAGTACAATAACTAGAAACATATAAAAAACACATTAAAATGTAAAAATGCAATGTTCATCTAGTATTAAACTAGTATTAAACACCAGTGCAAAGAGGTGAGGTGACATCTCAGATGAAGGAGTATACAATTCTTAGTAGTATGAAATCAGGTCTTTCTTGATTCCTAGACAGCCCCGCTCTGTAACTGCATGTTTTTGAAGGAATACTTTTCTTTGGAGCCAAGAGGGAAACCACACTAAAATGACTAAAAATGTTTTCTTGCCTTATTGTCATATGAGCACCATATCAGAGAAGCAGTCATTGGCAGTGGATGCAAATCTATGAAATGGAATTTCAAAATGAGAATCTAAGACCTAAAATGGTGCAGGACTCAAATATTAACATGTAGACATTTAAATGTTTTTGTAATTTTTTTTAGCTCATAGTCTGCAGGGTTTCATTTCTAGCCACATTTTGAAAAACACATGCGTAAACAAAGCTATAGGTCAGGATATAGTGATTGTGAAAACTTGGCAGCTATAGAAAGTTACATTTCTTGCTCCAGGAAACAGAAAATATAAAACAACACATATTTTGAAATGCATCCCGCCCACCCAACCTGCATGGCAACATCCTTCACTCCAGCAGGGGGAGGGGACTTAAGTGACAGGCGGGGTGGTTGCTAAGGCTGAAGTGACTCTAGCTGCCTGAGACAGAGACCCAGAGGAGGCTACACTTCACTCTGCGCTGACACAGCTGACCTGAACAGGTGAGAACAAAAATATGGTGCAGAAAAAGTCTTCAACTTCTAATTTCATTTTCATTGACGATGCAGGGTTAAGGGCTCATTACAGAGTCAGAATTGCTTTCATTTTCTATGCATAATGGGTTTGACCTGGTTAATTGGAGCTGACACAGCCCCACCAAAGGAGATTAAAGCACAAAGTGTAGGTCAAAATGTCAAGAGGGGCTAAAAGAGAATTTAGATAAATGCATACACTGTGCATATATCTAAATTCTCTTTTAGCCCTATCACACTGATAGGACACCAGCTGTAAACACAGAGCGGGTTGAGAGCCTGAGCAAAAGAGCAACTAGTAAATATGGAGACTTAATATGTGGGAGAGAATTTTACAGAACTCTGTCACCTCTTTTTTTACTCAAGGTGAAATTATTCAGTTTCTATTTTAAGCATAAAATGAGAGTGCATGACAAAAGCATAGAAATAGTTAATTATAATATATCATAGCTCCAAATGTTGACACTAGTCAGTGTAATACATGACAAGTGCTTGAATGTCACTTTGAAGAGTAGGTGGTTTCACATCAGAATGCAGTAGGACGGGTCGTGTATGAGATGTTGTGTCTTTGAATTGTGAGCATATAGAAAGAGAAAAAGGTAAAAGGAAGCAACTAAAGTACAAGATATATACTGTAGATTAGTTGTATTGCTGTTATATTTGCTGTTTAACTTAAAAATACAAATCTGGGATAAAACATTGTGTTTTTTAAATCTCATCAGGTTAAAAATCTGAGCAAATATCAACATCATGTCACAAGGTAAGTCACACTTGAATTCAATATTTTATTATTTCATCCATTTATAAGATTTGAAAACAGTATGTGAGTATTGCTGATACCAACCTAGTGCTGACAGAAAGTGTGTGTGTGTGTGTGTGTGTCTTTGTACTGTAGCGGTTGACAGGAACAAGGTGTTCAAAACCACCAGGGTGCGGAATTCACTGAAGAATGATAAGTGTTGGATCCAGAGGGCAAAACAGGAAAAGAAAGAGGAAGAACTAGCAAGGTATTCTGCGTGGTTAAGATTCTACATTTATCATGAAATGTTGATTTAAATCAATATAATTATCACAAATTTAAATCTGATTCTATCTTGCACTTAACAGATGTGCTATAGAGTTGCAAGGCGTGGTTAATGTTTTTTTTCTCAGTACTCTTTAGCTTTTCTCATTGCAATAATTGATTTTTTTTTACAGAGAAATGGTGCAACAAAGATGCTGCAAACTAACAACTTTTTTCTGTCTTGCAGTACCGACCAGGCTGTGGAGAGCAGACCCTCTCCGGCCAGACTGAGCTCATACGTCCTGTCCAAAGTCAAGATATTTGAGTGAGTACCTGCATGTTGTTGCCTTGAAAGCAAATGAACACGCATACAGTAATTCTATAAAACCACCAAAACATTAATAAAAACCCATACCAAGGTTTGTCCAGCAGGTGGCGCCATGATTAACAGTATCTAAAGCTTTGAAACTGATTTATTTTCAACATCGAGTGCTTCACAGTGATTTGGAAAGCTTCTCCACATCACTAGTAAACATATAAGACACTATTTTATTCAAAAATATAATGCATAATTGGTCTTTTCTTTTATGGATTTAACAAACTAGTTATTTTTTAGGTTTGCAAAAAGCAGTAAAGCTAAATCCTGTAACAGTTACATACTAGACCCCAGTCTGCCACATCTTGTGTTTATACATATTTGTGCAGAGAGCCATATTGATACACCATGGTGGCGTTGAACTTTTCCTTTTGACTGTTGCGTCCGTGAATAAAAAAACTATGAAGGCTGCAGGCACTAATCCCCATCTGTGATGATAACATACATAAACATTAACTTAGCCATGGGCAGCTGCTGCTTCCATAAGGACCCACAATGCACTGCAGGCCCACGGTAGCTGGCTGATGGAGCATTGATCTGAATGCCATTCTGACTCCAGTATTCCCCCCCAAGGCACACAAGAAAAACAACTGCTTTAACTCCACACCTACATGGCTCCAAATGTACATTTTAAAATGTAATTATAATGTATTTATTTACCAGGAATCAATTTGAGTGTGTGAGTTTAATAAGAATCGTGTTATGCTGAGCATATAGTCACCATCATGATAAATGATCATATTTATATAAGTTGTTTAAATATGCTTTGAAACATTAATTTAATGTTTGCAGTAGTTTTCCCCACCTGTGTTTTGTTGCCAGCTGTACCTCTTGCATTGCGATTACATCACCTGAATGGAACACAGACACACACCCACACGTAATCACATCAAAGAATGATGACTAAATAGTTTGCTTAATAGTACACTGTTAAGCTTATATTATGGAATATATGTAATGCAGAAATATTCAAAGAATATATTTATTCTGTTTATTCTCCCTGAGATAATACTGCAGTGCTTATTCATTCATCTGTGTGAATGGAGAACATTACAATATTTCAACACATTTATCTTGAGACACTCCCCAATTTTAAAAGGGTTCAACTTTTCTGAACATGTCGTAATGGGCCGAGTAGTACATTCACATGCTCAAGCAAAGGAAGAATATGATGCACGACTGAGATGAGTTAGCCGCCTCATAGCGTCCTATCATTATTACGAAAAGGACATTGTTATAATCCCTCATGTTCTCGCTGTTTGTTTTATGGCAGATTTCAACATTTTGGAAAGAAACCCCTTAGAAACAACTTTTAAGTATTTCTTCTTTGCAAATCCTCTGCATGGATCAAAATAGATTTAGAAATGTCCCCAATGTGCTACTTCCTGTAAGTCTTAAACAAGAGAATACAGTGTTGCCAAGTTTGAAATGTTTCCGTTTATCTAAGCATGTAAAGAACAGTAATGATAAGAATATATTAATTTCTTCAGCGGGAATATAATTTTAAAATTCATATCCCAATAAAACCATTAATTGACTAATGAAAATGTAATTTCAGAGAACTCTCCCCCAGGTTGGAAAATGCAAATGGGCAGCATTTAAATATTTTCATTTAAATTCGAAATCTGAGAAAAACATTGACATTTAATTCATAAACGCACCGCTAGCCTCTGGCTCTCTGAGAGAAAGCTGAGGGAGGTGTTGCATCCTTTAGTTTTTAAAATGATCAGCCAGGTTTAGATAAAGCAGTAACTCTCATTCCTTAAAGGTTCTGATGTCCGACTGTGCAGTTATGAGTCTGAATGGGGGTCCAGCAGCTGTGAGCTCTCCCCCTCAGCTGATGGGGACAGGGAGCATCCAGCTTCTGAGCCCATGCTCTGCGATGCCATTAAATGACCCTCGTTGAAAGCAAAGTGGTTCAGTGGGTAGATGCCACATTTCCTAAAGCCATCCTTCACAATCCTCACACCCTCCTCTTCCTTCACCACCTGATATGTCTCTTTAAACACACCTGAGAACTCCTTCTTGCTGACAGCAAAGTGAGAATCAGGGGCACAACCATCGCCTACGAGGGCAGCAAAGCGCTTCTTCAGGAGAATGAAGAGGCCTGCTTCGAGTGGCTGCAGGATGTGAGAGCAGTGAGGGGGGAGGCACAGAAGGATGACGTCCTCCTTACGAGCTGCTTCCACCACCTCCAGGTTCACCGGAGACTTGTGTCCGTCGAAAATCAGCAGCAGCGGACGCTCCTTTGGTGCATGCAGGAGGAAGTGTTTGAGGAACCATTTCTTGAAAAGGTCAGAGTTGATACACCCCAAGTTGGACCATCCATAGAGTGCGTTTGGAGGCCCTTGAGTCTTGTAACATACTCCCCCTGGGTATGCCTTTGAGTAGATAATAAATGGGGGAATGTCCTCTCCAGCTGCGCTAAAGCAAGCCAGGACGGAGATGTGGTCTCTGGAGCCTGACGTTGGCTTGCAGCCCAGACTGGCAGATTTAGGCAAAATCACCCTCTTCCTGCCCAGCTGAAAGCCCGTCTCATTGCAGTTGAAAATTTGATGAGGCTTGTCTCGGAGCCCACGAGAGTCCATGACAGTGCTTAGTAAGTGTAAAAACGGATCCAATGCTTCTTTTCTCACATGCACTGTCCTCCCACGAACAACATTGTCTGCTGGCTGAATGGTGATATTCTTTTCTTGACGTTTTCTAAAATTGAGCCACCAGGTCTGGCCTAGTTTAGAAAACGCCACCCTCCGATGCTGCCGCTTGTAAATGGATGATGCAAAAGACACCAGCTGTTGCTTTGTGAGAGGGAAGCCATGCTTGGACATGTATAAAGAAAACTCCACCAACAGCTCTTCGTCCGCAGATGTTATAAGCTGAGCAGGCCCGCTGCGGCTCCCCGGTGTCACCCGTCCACTCACTCTGTCCCCCAGGGAAGACTTAGGGACTCCAAACTCTTTGGCAGCCTGTCTCACCGTACACCTCCCAGACTTCACCTCGATCAACGCACGCTCCATGGCCTCCTCCGTCCATTTCTTCTTCTTCTTCCTCCCGATTTTGTCGAGATGATTTCTAGATGGCATTTTTTCTAGGACATAAGGCACAGGACACTCAATATGAATAACACACATGATAAAAAGCATAATTATTTTTTAAAAGTGTAAGGAAAATCACAAAGCTTAATATAACCAATCATTTATACTAAAGGTTGTTATGAATTAAGTAATGTTGTGTAAAGACAGAAAAGGGATCATAATGCAATTTTTTATCCATCCAAAACACATTACCAGCTCTGGATAAAAACCTAGAAATCAGTTTTTCGTTCTGATTATTTGTGAAAAGACGGTGGTAACAATACACACAACTCAAGGTCCACATGCACAATACATGCAATGCTGTCAAGTCAAATTTGAAATACAGTATAATAAACAATTGACTGTTTATGTTTAATTAAAAAAAATAATAATATTGAGAGATTTGAAGATAATGTTTCAAACATGTTTATCTTCAACATTATTTATATAAAAAAAATGGAAATCCATTTGTTTTCCACCGATTTTCCACTTTCCATGTTATTTTAGTAAAGGCATACATGCATTTTTATAGCCTACTCAAAATAATATTGCACTAGTAACTTCCTTAACCGTCAAAGCTCTCCATGTGCGTAGAGAAACCTGTTAAAAATACCAGATTCCTAATTTGGGAGTCTTTGGAATAATGTTTAGTTACTGGGGGACAGATGATCACTGTCTTGTGCTGGTTGAGAGTTCTGTTAATGCATCTATGGTCGCCCACAGTAACGATACTGTTTGTCGGGTACCTAGAATAATGTGAAGCCTGGTGGTTTTTTATGACTAAATTGCGCTCAAAAATACAAACCCATTGGCAGTGTTACGTCTACAGTCGTAGCTAAGTTTCTGTAGGTTTCAAAAAGTTTAAATTAGGCGGTCAAGTCTTACCAGCACGCACGTTTTCACTGTCTAGCATGAAACGGCTAGCAGCTAGCATCACAAGCCAGGGAAAGCGGAAGAAAACCGGAAGTAAAGTGTTAGTGTCTCCAAAATAAAAGTTTTGAAGTTCCTGTTACACAAATAATTGTCCAAATGTATAGATGTTCAGATCAAATCTATTCATTACATCACAATGCTTATATGACGTGGAACTATTATTGCTAAGTAGAATCAAACAAACAACAACACAAAATAACCTCACATTCTAACACCTTACCAGGGGCGGATCTAGACAAATATTCATGGGGTGGCAAGAAGGTGGCAGGAGAATTTGAGGGGTGGCATCCCCTGGCAGAAGTATATTCTGATTGAATCGCAGTCATATCAATCAATGTTAACTTGGAAAGTCACAATATTGATATTTTAACTCAATAACATTAGGTGACATTATTGTGGCACATCAGTAAAGCCTTAAATATAAATATACAGTATAAGGTGGCACAGGTAATTTAATGAATTTTAACTGAATGAGTTGGTTTAACTCTTAGACCAGCAGGGGTACCAAATATGCAGACTGATGCAATAAGTACATTAATTAACTGTCTCATCGATGTGTGTCTGTATGAATAGGATAATATTAACAATCATATTATTCCTATCAGCTGTCAATCACTGTTATGATTCACATATTCACTGTTATTATTAAATAAACTATATTTGTTGGAGGAGTTAATGATGAACATTCCTCAAGATGCTTGCTCACCCTCCTTCAAATTTGAAAGACCAGTAATTACTATCATAATTCAAAAGAATCAAAGGAACAGTTCAGCGCCCCACAACTTCACTGCAAACAGTTACAACCTTGACTTTACATCAGAAAGAACAAACATTAAAGAAATGACTAACTGCATCAGTTAGGGTTAAAAAAAGCGTGTATTCAGCTAAAACATACATCGCTGCAGTTATTATTCAGTGGAAAGCCCTTACCTACTGGCCTAGTTCAATCAAAGTG